ATTTAAACATTTTGCTTTTATAAAATACATTAAACATTTTGCTTTTATCATTTTACTTGGTATAGGCACGGACGAGCTTTACATTTCGATATTGAAATTTGCCAACACTGTAATGGGTCTAAAAAATCATATTGCTGGCGCATTCACTAGTTCCTCAACTCGCCATTGTTTAAACGTAGAGTGCGCTAAAAAACCAGTGGTTTTTTTACTATGTCGGTATTTCAGGTCACGAGCCACGAAATCCCGTAAAATGCTTGGTCTATTCATATACCTCGTCGTCTGTGCCTACATATTCATGTACTTCGTCTGTGGTTTGTGTATAAACTGAAACAGAATCGATAAGATAGAAATCCTTTTTATCAGCCGTTCAACTGGAAATAGCGTAAATAATGCTTTCTAAGATCAACGCGTGGTTCGTGACTAGTAGAACAAAGTGGACTAGGAATAGAAGTGAAATTCAGTAAAGATGGTGAGAAACGTGACCGAACGTTTCTAACGATTAAGCGTCTAAATTAGCAGTGAATAATCGTTCGCGTCGTGGTCAATATGTAAGTGAGGATTCATGAGTTTGCAGTCGATATTAATAAACACGGGTCAATTTGGAAAGCGGTACAAAAGTCTGCAGAAACGAAGGTACGGCAGGATGCTTTGTTTATGGAGATCAGCTGTGTTACCAAACATTCCTATCGCTTTCGCTGCAGCGTCTACGACGCTTCTATTTTCGTCGAATAAAGGTCAGCCAAAAGCATAGACAAAAGCGATGCTTGATGCACAAACGATTCAAAGTCGTAATCGAAATGTATTGTTGATAAGATTTTTCGCAAAAATTGGAACTTTGATTTCACATGGAAAAATATATTGAGAAGTTTCCACGCTTCTTTCTCTTATTGCCAGAACTAAGTCAAATTTTCTATCGTGCGTCCATCGATCGTCTAACTTCTTTTTATTTTCTTTAGTCCAATTAAATCCAAATATTACCGTTAGATATGTATGCATCACATGGATATTACTAATAAAATATTATTATTAAATTATTATTATTAAAATTATTAAAATAATTATTATTAAAATAATTTTAATAATTCCATACAATACTAGTCTTGCAAATCAAAGCAAAATCAAAGGTAAATGAAAGTGTACTGATTGAGAAAATAAATTGGAAAATATTAATTTTTTGCATATACTTGCAAAACAGTTACACGGGACAGTTACATACTGATTAAACAGTATTTTTGTTTGAGTATTAGCATGCTCTTTGTTACAAAGGATGAGCAATCGATTGAGAAACTCTAATGCAATCTTTAGATAAAGGTAGAATTGTCACAAGATAGACACACGTAGACAAAGAGTTGAAACAGAATAAAAGAAATAGTGCAAAAGTTTCATTTTTTCTGATGCGTATCATGGTAGAAATGAGATAGAAACAAATAGGTGAATATAAATGCATCTTTTGGCGCATTAACGAGTTCATTTGGTGGGTGGCTTACATTTTAGATGCTTGTGGAGCAACCGTTGACCGGTAGTTAATTATTCTTAATGACATGTGAGAATGAAACGAGAAACTGTCATTACCTGTGTAGAGCCAAACCGACGAGCAAAAACGGTAAGGCTGTTCTTTTTTAGGAATCCTTGTACTTAACACTGAATCTCTTTTTTTTTTTCTCTCTCTCTCACTCTCTCTCTATCCCCTCAAAAACATTTGGTTGGTCCTAGCAAAAAGTACATTGTGGTCAAATATAACTCCTTGTATCAATTACAAATTTTTGTTTAATTTCACCATGTGTACCATTCTTAATCGGAATTGAATTGATATGTTGGAGAAATGAATCTGTATGAATCGCATTTCTAGATGACGACGGTCTTGGATGGCAGCTACCAACGTATGGAGCCATACAACGGGGAAGAAGAGGACGAAGAGGACGATGACGGGGAAGTACCTCAGGAATCTGGTTTTATAATACACGTGGTACCAGAAGGGAATAAGGCTAGATGGAATCACATTGAGGATCTAGATTCGTTTTTTACAAGGATGTACCACTACCACCAGAAACATGGTTTCGCTTGCATGATACTCCAAGAAGTGCTTGAATTAGGACAATACATTTTTGTAGTGGCTTTCTCGACTTTTCTCTTTCATTGCATCGATTACTCCGTATTATTTAAGTAAGACTTTCAACAAGAACAATACGAGCACGATATATAACGAATGTATGTAAGAAGCTTGATTAATAAATTCGACATATTTCCAGGAACAAGCCTCAACCGTTGCACAACAAAACGTCGATAAGCGACGTGATTCTCTCATCGAGCGAATGCTTGGCATCCATGGGTCTGGTTACTTGGATCTGTATTTTAGTAGCCGCAATCTTTTGGATTTTACGATTAGTAAAAGTTTTGTATCATTGCACGCAGTTTTGGGACATAAAGCTGTTCTTTAATACCGCGTTGAAAATCGAAGACTGCGATTTGGACAATCTCACCTGGCACGAGGTACAAAAGCGAGTCAGAGAAGTTCAAAAAGAACAGGAGATGTGCATTCACAAACGAGAGCTTACGGAATTAGATATATACCATAGAATATTAAGATTTAAGAATTACATGGTGGCTATGATCAACAAATCTCTGTTACCTGTCCGATTAAAAATCCCTGTTATAGGAGAGATAATTTTCATGACAAGAGGATTGAAATATAACATGGAGCTATTACTGTTCTGTAAGATTCCAGATATTTAGACATCTGCATTATATAACGTATAATACCTAACGTAGTGCGAATAACTTGACTGTTCTTACACAGGGGGGCCTTGGTCTCCGTTTGAAAATAATTGGCATCTCAAAGAGGACTACAAAAAATTAAACAAAAGGCAGGAGCTTGCAAGAGCCCTGTCCAAGCATATTTTATGGGTTGGAATAGTAAATTTTCTCCTCTGCCCGTTGATTTTACTCTGGCAGATACTCTATTCGTTTTTTAACTACGTTGAGGTGAGTAATTCACGTATATAATATAAGTACGTATGTATTTCGTGCCGTAGGAGTAAATATAATCGTAATTCTATTCAAAAATATTTCTGTCTCGAACAGATCATCAAGCGGGAACCAGGAACCTTAGGTACGAGAATGTGGTCTCTGTACGGTCGATTGTATCTTCGTCATTTCAACGAACTAGATCACGAATTGAATGCCCGTTTAAATCGCGCGTACCGTCCAGCTTCGAAATACATGAGCATATTTACATCGCCCATTATGACTGTTATCGCGAAGAACGTTACTTTCGTCGCTGGAAGTATATTGGCAGTTTTATTAATATTAACCATATACGACGAGGATGTGCTCACGGTGGAGCACGTGTTGACCACCATGACTATATTAGGCGCGGTAGTAGCGGGGACCAGGGCGTTTATCCCCGACGAAAATTTAGTTTGGTGTCCAGAGACCTTATTGACCGCTGTCTTAGCGCATACACATTACAGACCGGACAGTTGGCGAGGTCACGCTCACACTCAAACCACAAGAGCGGAAGTGGCGCAACTGTTTCAATATAGGGCAGTCCACCTCTTAGAAGAATTAATGTCCCCCTTGCTTACACCGTTTATTCTATGCTTTCGCATGAGACAACGAGCTTTAGATATCGTAGACTTCTATCGGAATTTCACAATCGAGGTGACAGGCGTCGGCGATGTTTGCAGTTTCGCACAAATGGACGTGCGAAAACATGGAAATCCAACGTGGCAAACGGTTGGGACTCGCAGTCCCATCGCTGACCGGGCTGCCAAGTTCAATCCGAACCAGTACATCACGGATCCGGAGAAGGCTCAGATGCCTGTCTCGGATCAGTACACGCAAGCGGAAGACGGGAAAACCGAGTTGTCCCTCATTCATTTCACCTTAACGAACCCCGAGTGGAAACCGCCGAGCCACGCTGAGAATTTTGTCGCAGCTTTGAGAGAAAGGGTGAGGAAGGAAGTGCAAGGTGGCATACACGGTGAGATCAATCCCCTTTTGGCAAGCCTGAGCAGTCTGTCTAGCCTGGGACCTGGCGTAAGTGTGACAAGCGGACAAACAACGAAATCTCAAAAACGTTTTCAACGTTCAATGTTCCAATTCTAAGTGTCTAATTTCTGTCTAATCATTATTTCAGTACAACGACATAGTGTCGAATATAATTCGAAGCACAATGGTGAATCAACCAGGTGGACCAACCACGAGTAACTTCGTGAACCAGCAGCCTTGTACATCGACTGTCTCAGCCGCTGGGGACGAATTGTTGAACATGAAGTCAGATATGCCTCATGCCGTTCAACGTGGTTTGAACAAAGCCGAAGGGCCTGTACACAATGAAAAAGGATTCCTATATGGTCTGCAACAAGGAATATCTAATCAGTCTCTAGGCGCTTCTGTGTTTGTGTCCAGTCACGAGTTTTCTACCGATCTGTCTGTACCGGTGGAATTGATCGCTGCTGACATGTCTCTTTCTACGTTGTACCTGCACGAACTTCATCACAGACAAGTACGTTTCTCTCCTGTCCGTCTAGTGGCATTTAATTAAAACATCACGCTAACCAAAACTAATGAACAACAGGTTCGAAGAAGGGGCTATCAAGAATTGCTTAAAAGCATATGGCAACGAAGCCCTGTCCAAGAACTTGCCACGCTTCCTGAAGTTAGACAAGAAAGAGCGCCGTTGCTCTTACATCAGGATTCTTCTAGAAGAAACAATAGGGAATTTAAATACGAGATAAACACTCATTTAGATAGCATCTAAACCATATTCGCGCAGTGATATATCACCACCATCAACCAAGAATAAAATATTTTCATTCGCTTCGCGATGCAATGCCCTCGTGATTTATTTTATAGCAAGAGAATTATAGCTAGAACGTTTAAGAATCTGTGTTATCGATGTAAATACAGTATCGAAATATTCCTTGACTAGAAAGTGAAACGATCTCGAATGCCTATTTTAACCTTATACGAAGGCCTACGCGTGTGTGCATTTCGTGCATCAAATTACGAACCGAACGCTTCCCGAAATTCTGCTAGGTTGATTGACTTGTTGTTTCTACAATATGATGGCACGTGTAACAAACAGGGGTTCGTCCCCTCATCGAAATTCTTTTCGTCGAGAAAGAATTCGTTACTCGTCTACGTATACAACGGACAAGAGAAACTGTACACTTTCTTCTTCTTTTTTTCTCTCTGTCTCTCTCTCTCTCTCTCTCTCTCTCTCTCTCTCTCT